GGCTCCTCATAATCTCTCTTTATTTAGTTATTTCTGAGTTGAAGAGGGTGAACGGCTACAGTGTAATAACAAGTAAGTACACCCAGAAACGTTTCTACACACTTTCTACCATGCTATGAACATGTCGCCAAAATTGAGCTACATCGTGTTTTTTAAAACGAACAAAATAAGGTTCGCATGTGACTGGCAACATGCTGGGGAACCAGAATGTGATTAACGGGTCGCTAACCTCAAGACTGTTTGCCAATTCAGCAAATGAACTAAACCCTCATCAGCACACGATAGTGCTGCAATTAAGACGCAGACGCACACAAAATGACCAGGAGAATCGCGGTTTGAACCCAACTTTTGCACCTCAACTTGAGTTGTGTAGGCTTGGGCAACCTGGCAATATCCCAGCCCTCGTGCTTCCTTCTGGGGGCATCGTTGGGAAGGAAATACTCACAAGTCGATGAAGCCACCCGAGAACCGGAGGATCTGTTTGGTGTTTCTATTGAATTTATAACATGTAGTAGCCTCGATGGACAGTCGGGTCATTCCGTTTTCACTTGATGATCTGTGCACTCTTTCTCCCTTCCACCCCATCTGCCAGCCACTTCCTCGTTGGGTCGGACAAGGAAGCGTTCGAACGAGGTGACCAGTTCTCTTCGTCGGACCACGCGAACTGGTGCCAGGAGACGCAATTTCAGTTCCAGCACCACTTCGCGTCTATCTCCGTTCCCAGAAGAGGAGCAGATTGATGGTAGTACGGAAAACCATTCGGGCCGATCAACTGGCGATGGTCTCGCTCAATTTCGACCGTATTCACCGCCAGCTACGTCGGCCATGTTGAGGGCGCCGCATTTACTGTCACACTGTAATTGTCCTCACCGACCTAGCATGCCCCCTGGCCCACCAACTTCTCCGGTACCCAGCCCACCTCCAACCTCATTTGCTCAACTTCCTCATTCCACGTCAGTACAATCCTCTTCCGCCCCCTCACTAACTGCAGACCTCCCTCCTGATATCCTCTGTGAAGACTCAGCAGAATATGCGGCCAACTCCATGTCTAAGCACACCGTTCCCGATATCCCAGGGGTCTTTCGTAACCGCCTGCGTCGACGTCGAAACGCCATTTGTGCCGCATCAGCACTAGGTCAGGGACTAAAAGAGTTCTTCACATCCTACGTCGTTTCTCACCTCACTGAATCCATGACTTCATCGCTTAGTTTGGATGCCAACCCACCGGTCTCGGTCCCATCCTCGACGCATTCGGTGTTCCTGCCTCCAAACTCAACGAATAGTACAACACCTACCCCTGTCGACCCCCTTCCCTCCGAAATGGAGTTATCGTCTATCGATTAATGACTGTGATAATTCTGGGACTACTGATCTCTTTAGTATATTGTCATTGTTACGATTATTGTTATTATTACTATTATGATGTGACTAACATTCAGGTAAACCCACCTTTCACACAGATCACACGGTGTGAACAAGGTTTCGTCTTAGAGACCCGTTCCCGCTCTGCCGTAGCCTTTTTCCGCACACCATCATCTCACTTGTGGCTCATTGCACAACCAATTCTATCCTTTATGCACGACGTATTATCGAAAAAAATCATTATTATCATTATTTGTAATTGTTACTATGGGTATTTTGATCTTCTCGCGCACATTTGTCGCCGTACATCGAGTCTTTCGCCAGCGAAATGCATTCTTAGTCTCTCGTTGCTGTTGTTACTTTGCAATCTCACCTCCGTGACCACCTATCCCCCTCTTCGTTCCCTCTTTTTGTCATTGGTAGAATCTGTTTTATTTTTTCTTCAATACAAGACACTCATGTTGAGTTCTTTTCTTCCCATTCGTGTGATTTGAGGAGTTATGGGAAGGAACTCCTGTCCGAACCACTGCCCATATTATCATGGTTCGAATTCTCGGGTGAATACAGTTCACTTGAACAGGCTGTATATTTTCTGAGTATGCATATTAGGAATCGAGGACAGTCACAGAGGTTGCTGAACGTTTCTCGAAATTCGGGAGCCCCATTTTGAAGTAGCCAATCTGCGTAATTACCATACGATCACCGCCTTTCTGTCGGTTGCCTTCGGCCGCCAAAACAAACGTTTGTTGAGCATGAACTTTGGGGAACCTTCAACCTTTCGATTTGAGCAAACGGATCAGCATATCGCGTTGTGACGGTTTACTCATGCAGCGTCCACAGACACTCTCCAATCACAGTCCAATCAACCGTTCCCGGTCTGGAAAGCAGTGTCTGTTGAAGCAGACCTGAGACTGGTTCGGGGCTCTAATCGTCTTCTTGTCCACATTCTGGCGCTCTAGCGGCACCTCTGCCCACATACCACCCCGTGACACAGGCAGAACCGTCGGCACATTTCAACCACTAAGTGAAGCTAATCCGTGCTGAAAAGCATTGTACGGCTGCTCCATCCGTATCGGAAATCGTCAGCAGTACGTATCTCACGAGATTTCAGTCAGGAGTTTCGAACCTTCGACCTCGCGGCCAGTAGTTTGAACGAGCCGCTGGTCAGTGTGCTTAGACAGCATACAGCGCCACCCATCCACACCACGTGGTCACACGTGTTGACTGGCTCCTTAGGCAACGACTTCTCAGATGGAGGTTTCACTCCTCTTCCATCTTTCTATCCTCTTTCGACCAACCCCTCTTCCACAGACTCTAGTTGTAGGCAATCAATCAGGGACCCGCAAAGATACCACCACTCCCGTCTACCGCTTATTGTAGTCGTTTGGCGCTGGTGATGATGATGATATGTAGACGAGCGCGATGGTGGGGACGTCAGAAAGGCAATGCAAGATAGATGTAAAGAGCCGCATAAACGAGGGATTCAGTCTGGTCCCGCATTCCAACCAGATTACTTGTCAGGTGAGTGTATTTCGCGGACTGCGGGCAATTTGAGCTCAAGTAGATTAACGGAAACGCGTGAATTTCGCCTACCTGATGAGCCCGAAAAAGGACGACACGGATCGTGCACTGTCAAAGAGTTTTCCGCCATATCCCTCAAGTAAATACAAGGCACTTCAGTCCTCAAGGTAAAGATGTATGTAGTTGGATATCGAAGAGCCAAACCTTTCCTGGGACGTAGATTGATCGGTTGTGTGACCTTTTGATCTAGGGTTTCTCTGTGAACCACGCGCTTGTCAGCTGCACAAGCTGGTCGGTGGAAGCATGGTCCAGAGGAACAAGCCTGCGCCTCGGGTTCTTATCATATGAACTCGGCATCGATTGTCCACGTGACTTCATGTATCCCGCGTGTTATTCGCGCCGAGTTTCGAACGATCAACACAAGCTTTCCTCCTTTCTCCTAGCGAGCACCATCCGTGTTTCTCCAAGGTTCTATAGACGCAGCCACAACCGTGTCTTGATCTAGCCTAGGGAACGGTATCCGTTTTTTCCCTATTTGATGCGACGTGAACATCACTCACCATTTCATGTCGTAAAACAATCGAGGATAAGTGCTGTCAACTCTGGGTTAGAATGGTCAAAATTGATAAGTCACGATTAGAGGACTGCAAGCATATGGTCTCAAAGAAATCCAATACGATTTGTACGGGACTAGGAACTTCACCGTTGGTCCAGTGGCGGGCCTAAACAGTCCCCAGTCTTTCGAATCTCCCTCTTGATGATACCGATAAGAGTCAGTTGTCCAATCACCTCGACTGTTCCCAGTCTTCGGTTGATAACGCCCTCTGGGCGACCGTCTGATTGGTGTTGCTTGAAAGACATCAAGATGTTTCTGAGAGTGCTCCAGTTGGTTCGCCCAATGATGCGCGTGGAGGTTGTAAGACACGTGAATCCTGCGAGTTAAGAATCTGTTAAAAATAAGTCATATGTTGTGGGATTTCTTGATGAGCTGTGTTACATTGCCCTTGGGGCGAACCCACGATTTCAAGCATATGTGTCACAAAGACTGGAAATTTGGCTAACCATGGCTAAATGCTAGCCGATAGCCTCAGTCGTTTTAATTGGCTACCGTGCTGGCGGCTCACGTGACAAGTGACCATTCATAGTCGTTGATTCCATGTACGGTTCACTTCGCAACGCTCTGACGAGCTCGGTCACTGGTGGATGAGCCTTGAAGCGGCATTGAGTGCTAAGTCCAGCGAACCTCCAGGGCCGAATTCATTATGAGAAAAGCTGCACGAGTGAGTATGAATTTTCCGCATTCTCGTTTCTTCGATTCAAGAGTTAAATCATCTGACCAAAAACGTTTCCGGTCTGTTGGCCTTCAGTTCTGAGACTATTCCGTCAAATTGGCCTGAAACTCTACCCTCACAGTGACCGTAAACGGTCGGCGAGTAGTCCATCCAAATATGGATGATACTTTCTCTCCCAATACATTGGAAACCACAAAGCTGTTGTTCTTTTAATCTTTAACTGAATACCAATCATTTCCAGTTGTTTACTTTTTCCGCATTTCCGAGATCCGACCTCATCATCATTGCCTGATCTGTGTCACCGTTCGGTTCGCAAATATCCCATTTCTTCAGGTCACTCCGGATCGATCCAGCCGGTCAACAATTGATCTTACAATTGATCTGTGAGAAGGCACAGTTTACGCCAGGCGGAAGAAAATAACATATGTCGTGCACTTACTAGCAGCGATCAGTCGATGGTACAGGAAATCGTTTGCTCAAAAAGTTTTGCGCGGGGCACCAACGCTCTCAGAGCAATGTGTGCTTAATAACTCTGTGTTGGTGTGTGTGTGTGTGTGTGTGGCGCCAGCGTTTTGGTTTCCGATGAACAGTCCAGTGTGCAAACAGATGCTTGTCTCCGTAGGTCAATATGGGGCTTACGTTTATACTCAGTTTGGTATGAGCCCTCATTTCAGTCCGCACGACACGTAAATGTCGTGCGTCCTTCAACAGTGACACCAGTACGGATAGAAAACATAATCTGAGGAATAGACTTAATACACTACTCCTTAGGTCACTGAAATTTACTGACCGGAAGATCCGTGGTTCGAACCCGACCTCTATCTCTAGACTTCCCCTGTCTAAGCTTGGGCAACCTGGCAGTATCCCAGCCCTCGTGCCTCTTTCGTGTGGCATTGCAGCTAGGCACCGAAAGGGTGCTACAGCTAGACGACAACACTCGAAAAAGTACATCCCATTGACCGTGTACTTAAAAAGTCTAGCTTTCGTTAGGTAGACGGCCGTGATGCTTTCTCATCTCTTGGCGAGTAGTTAGCCTTAACGCAGCATAACTTGTCTAGTGAAGGCAATTTGTCTTATGTCTTCAGGTGAACCGTAGCGCACGTTTCATTCCTGAAGTGACTACATCTGACCAAGCAGTACACAAGTGACACTGTTAGTGTGAACTTTCTAATAGATATTTCGACGTGTAGTCGGAGCAAGTTCACTGGAAAGTCACGGGGCATGGGAGGTAATGTCATGATCACTTAGTTCGGGAAACTGGGCATTAAAGGCTTTATTGTACGAGCGACATGATTAAACCATGTCTACCGGTGTCATTAGCCACTGGTGAGTTGAGTTCCAGATTCTCCATTCAGTTATCCACCCGAATGAGGTGAATGCACAAATCTGCAAGGCTCGGGCCGCGTTTGCTAACTTGAGACACCTATGGAGTCTGAATGGTTTATCCCTGAATCTGAAGGGACGTGTGTATCAAGCAAACAGTATGGGCTGTTTTGTTGTATGGCTGTGAGACTTGGCCTATTCGAGCAGCGGAACTGAGACGTCTTCAGGTGTTCGACAATCTTTGTCTCAGAACCATTGCTCGTGTGAATTGGTGTCGGCGAATCCGTAACGAGGCAGTTGGAAAGCGCGTTTTCGGTTGTGCAACGGGTACTTCTATTGAAAAATGTGTCCAGCACCAGAAGCTGCGTTGGTTGGGACATGTGTTACGTATGCCGAACCATCGTTTACCGATAGACAACAATTTCACGGAGCAAATCAATCACAACATTGAGGAGGAGAAAGCAATCTTGTCTTGCACCACTGGACGTGATGAACTCAAAAGAAACCTTACTCTAGGCGTCCACAGGAGTTCCCGTACAAGAGATGTAAGTTTGGAACGGATGCCTTGGATTGCCAAATTGGGCCAAAATTTTCGACGATCGGCAGAGTCACAACAGCATATTCTCAAATCTCTCTCGAGGACGAAAATACAACAGAGTTTGCTGTTTATGCGAATGTGGTGTGAAACGCTTTATGGTCCTTATATCGACCAGCTTTTCGCCATAAACCCGGCGGTGTGTGTGTGTGTGTGTGTGTGTGAACGAAACTCTGACACTCACCAACCCGTCTTGCTTGACCTTACTAAACAGGGTGAAGCTGTACCGTACATCATGCATATGGGACCGAGTGCTGAAAACACTGGTCGATTGACAAATGAGGACACGTTCCACTCGACCTTGGTCGAACTGGTTGATGCACGGTGTGCAAGAAGTACCGAATGGTGAATTCATTTCAACAAACAACTGGTCGGGATGTGATCGTGGCGTTCAGTAGTTTTGCTACGCAAACAGCACGTTGTTGCGAATGCGCTACTCATTTCTAAATGAATGGTGAGAGCGTACAAACTCGCCTGGAAAAGTGATCGTATTATACGGGAAACTTAGATTTAAAAAAGTTGGGAAAAATCCTAACGTCAGGAACTTGTGTTTTAGTGAATGGTGTGTAGAAATATTCCCTTACCACCAGGAGAAGGACATACCCTCAGCCTCAAGTGAATAACATCTCATGCAGTCGCCCCAGATCAAGTCACGTGAGATATTATTGATTCATCAAGGTCACTTGGATTGGTGATTGACTGAGTGACATTCGGACCCGAT